TAGCAGAATCTTCCTCTCATGTTCTTAACTTCGTGATATTAAAATATGGATCTATCAGTAGGAATAAGCAATGTGACAAGAGCAAATATAAGACACACAGTGGGGTTTAAAATCCCATCTTCATACTGCTTATTTCTGCATTTACTGCATTTCTTCATACTGCTTATTCTAGGAGCTGTACTGCAAGGAAACACCACACACAGTCACACCAATACAGAAGAAAACTTGGGGCCAAGCGATACCAGAAGCATTTAACTTGGCTTCAACTAAAAGCCTCGCTGTACTCACCAGTGTGTACTCATAGACAAGACCTGCATGTCCCAGACAGTCAGGAGTGAGATCCTCCACAGAGTTCATAGCAGTACCACCACACGCAAGGGTCAGTCTGAAAGAGTTTGTTTACTGCTTAGCAATTCTCTCATATTAAGTAAAACATGAAGTCACCAACACGAACCGCAGTATTTCAGCACACAAAATACTGCAGGTCTGGGCTTGCAACAGTTTTGTTTCTTTTAGTAAGAAAGCTCTTCACTAAAACAAACAAACAAACCCACAGAATTAAGCCTCTCCAGAAGAGGCATTTACTCCTGGAGCACAGACAGCTTCAATTCCTACATCCCTCCTTGTACTGAACTTCCCAGTTCGTATCAAATACACTGAGTTACTCTAGTAACATTCACACTGAAGATGACTTCTGGCTGACAGCCTTTAAAAGCTGATTCAAGCCAGATGTGACTCACTGCGCAGTCTGGGAGAGCAAGGCATTTACCCCTCCTCTCCCTAGAAGGATACCTTTCCATGTTCCTCCTTTTGGCTCTGCGCAGAGCAACAATTCCTTCTTTTGCAAGCGCGTCCAAGGAAAATGGGTCAATTCCCTGGAAACAAAGGAAGGGACCATCAAGATCAGAAAACAAAGAAACAAATCCCCCTCAGGTTGGCACTAATAAGTTTTTCCTCAGCACTCAAAGAAATCTCAGGAAGGAACTGCACGTAACTGTGAGTTCATCAACCTCAATTCAGTTATCTGCACGGAAAGCACTGCGCTAAACGGGTCAAGCGCCAAGCCTGCCAAGAAAGCCAACATTTCTGCTTGTTTTCCCCAACTTAGTTATACTCTTTATCTCACCTTCTGGTTAATGACAATAAATCCTTTATCTGAGTCACCACAAACTCTTCTTTTCAAGTCTATGATTTTGCTCACTCTGTCTTCAATGAACTTCCTTTCTGCTTTCACCAGTTTCTCTCTCTCTTCTGCACTTTTGTAGAAGAACCCAGCGCTCACCTCTCTGGAGAGGAAAAAAAAAGCAGTAAGAAAATTAGCTGTCCTCTGTGTCGCAGAGCTAAGCAGCTCAAGGAAGAAGGAATCCTTTCAGTAACATTCTAAAAATCAATACGCAGATTTTATTTCAGTTACTAATTTCCTCTGCTTCCATTTTCTGGAAAAGGGAAGCTCCACCTTTTCCACCCCCACTTCTACACTATCTGCCATGCTCCAGAAGAGCATCTCTGTGGCCCTACTGGTACTTGCTCAAGCACAACTTAAAGGAATTGAAGAACAGAAAATGTGTCTTACATGCTGGTGCTGGGTACTCACGTTTTCTCATACTCTAAAGATACGTTGCAAGTAAGAATATAGGCATCTTCCACCCTTTTCTTCATGTCAGGATGGCGAGCACCGTGATCCAAAACCAGCCCCCTGATCAGCCTGAAAGATCAATGAGCATCTTGTGTGTCAAGATGGTCAGAGACCAGCACTTAACGGAAGCACACACTGCTCGAGATAACCAGCAGTGCCATCATCTAGTATGAACTGTCTGTGAATTCGAGTTAGAAGCAAAGAATGATCTTGTTTCCCACTCCCAAGGGCATGCCCACTCACATACAGAAGCATGCCAGAGTGTAAACTGGGAATTTATTCTGGCACGGTGTCTGACTGCAATAGCTACTGAAGAAAGCTAGCGCAGAATTCGTCCATGCCACTGTGAAATATAAGGGCACGAAGAACACCCAGTGAGACAGCTGCAACCCAGTTTTCAGGTACTGATCACTACTGTCTCACAGAAGCTGAAAATACGTTAAGCATCCTCAAGACACAGACAGTACCACATGGTTATAAAGCAAACAACCGTGCCCATCTGCAGCAAAGCTGAAGTCTGAGCCAGTGTTACTCTTTGCTATTCAAACATCTTGTCAGGATGTCAAGTTCAGTGGCTGGGAAACTTATGCTGCCAAGATCACTCATGGCTAAAACTTGTATTTCTGCCTTTCTTTCACTCACTCCCCAATGATTTTTCCAACAGCACCTCTGAGACACCCATGTTCTTCCAACAGAAAAAATAACCACAGCACAAAAGCCCAAACACACACAAAAAACCAACCCACTCCAGTTTCAGGATACCATTAAACTGAAGCTTGAGGAGACTCACTACTTACGTGGTGTCAGTTTCCGATTTATGCTTCATCTCCATGATCTCCACCATGTGAAGGTCAATAGGTTCACCTGGTTTTCTGACGGCCAAAACAGAATCAACTACAGCCTGAAATAGAGGAGGGGGGGGATCCCCAGAAGGGCCATCAGACTCTAAGTGCAAGCTCTATCTACCCTTCTATCTGCTCCTCGCCAAAGGAATAACCCAGCAGCTTAAAACCTGGAGCACAACACACAAAAAGGGGATGAAGATGCATGGACACTTACTTCTGTTAAGATGTCAGCAAGTTCAGTATGAACTTTAGTACGAAGGGACGTTTTGGCAACATCTATAAGGGTCTCCCTGTCCATTTCCTTGGTTACTTTGACCTGCTCCAAGACTTCAAGTGCCTTTTCCTTTGCGATCTCAAATCCTTCTGCTACTATTCTAGGGTGCAAGCCCTAATGCGAGAAAAGAAGGGACATAATCAGACAACAGTAAGATAAAATAGTGCTTTCCCTGTAAGCAGAACAGGGAGCATACGCACTACAGTGATAACAAAATGTACTGTCCTTCTGAATACATATAAAAGGAATGCCAATCCTTCCAATGCAGAGGAAAAGCACAGGTTATTCTAGCACAGAATTTAAACCAAGGGAACTATGAAGCACACTTGGGTGTTCACTGTGCAATATGAATGCCTATTCTCCAACTTATACTACCAAAACATCTACTAGCATGGAGTATTTCCTCATTACCATGCAGATAAGAAATGTTTTCATTCAAACAAAACAGTCAGAGATAACAGCATGAATCAGGCACAACGTTGTTAAAAGCTACAGTATAAATAAGCAGAACAAGCCTTAGGTCCTCTTTAGCTTTTCTCCATTTTATAAGTTCTGTGACACGCTCATTTTAAGTGGAAAGACGTATTTGATTTCCATGTTTTTGAGCACCAAGCACACTACAAAAAACCAAAGCTGAACAGTCTCAGGTGAAGCTTTTTTATTTGCCCATCTACAAAAGAAACGCTGCACACATACCTCAGAAATATAGAGATCTGCCTGCTTCAGCAGCTCTCCAATGATTAAGACATTTGAGGTGGTACCATCTCCAGTGATGTCATCCTGTGCTGTTGCTACTTTTGCTATCAAGGAGGCTGTGGGGTGCTGTATTTGCTAAACAAAAATAAGAAACTGAATAGTAAGCTTTATGGCACTGGTACAGGTAGCAAGTAATCTAAAATTAGCTAACCAAGATTTTTAACGAATAAGATGATGGTTTCAATGATTCCTGGCAGTTCGGCTGGTTTCAACACATAATCCCACTTAACAGCAAAAGACATTTAGACTTTGACAGCAAATTTCTTGAGCTAATCTATATAATAAGACCTTCTTTTTCCCTTGGGGACCCCAACAGCGACAGTACGTCAGAGAATGGCAGGGAGCTGTGCTGGGGAGGGTGTTAGGAGGTTCCTCACCAGAGGGCGGTGGGCACAGAACAGGCTCCCCATAGAGCAGCCAATTCAGCCTAACCTCCCACCAGACACACGGTGCCACATCCCCCACAAAGGTAGTCGGCCCCCAACCCCCACAGCGCCTCACAGGGACATCCACAAGCAGGCTCCGCTCCCCCTGGCCCCCCTCCTCCCACCGCTCACCATTTCCTGCAGCAGCACGTTGCCATCTTTGGTCAGCTTGATGTCTCCGGCCCCCGACACCAGCCTGCGGGCAGCACGAAGAGGGTGAGCAAGCCTCCGAACGGCCCTCCCCGGCCCCCGGCCCCAAGCCCACCGCCCGTCCCGCACCCGCCCTCCGCTCCCCGCCGCGCAGCCCCGCTCTCCCCTCAGGTCCCAACGGCCGCCCGCGCGCTGAGGCGCGTGGCTGGAAGGCCCGGCCCGCCCTCTGAGGGAGCCGCGCGAGGTTCCTCACATCTTCATGGTGCCCTTAGGGCCCAGGTTGGTCCGCAGCACGTCCTGCAGCCCTCGGGCAGCGCTGATGTTCACCGCCAGGGCGGCCTGGGCGCGAGCCACCTCGGCTTTGGGGTTGAGGGCCTTCACCGCCATGGCTGCCGCTCCACGCTAGGCCGGGCCGGGCCGGGATGGGGCGGGAACGAAACGAGCCGCGCCTCCCCGCCCGCCCCTTCTAGAACACTCCGGAGAGCGTGCGCTCCTATTGGTCCGTAGGCCTCCAAAATGCAGCGCCATTGGCTGAGCGGCTTGTCGCTCTGCCCGGAAGCTGCCGCCCTCTCGCTGAGGGGCTGCCGGGAAGCGACGGTTGGGAGGCGGGCGGTCATGGGGGCAGTTGGGATGGGTACTTCGCTCTGTCCGCTGCAGCGAGGGGATGAATGTGTGAACGAGGCTTTTGAACGGGCTGAGATCCTTGGTCGTTCTTATCCCATGCACTCATTATCATGGAATCATTCAGGTTGGATCTCAAATCCCCAAGTCCAGCCCACCGTGCCCACTCAGTGCCACATCTCCATGGCTCTGAATGCCTGTGGTGACTCCACCGCCTGTCTCATCTGACAGATATCCTAGCCGTGTTCACAGAACCATGAGAATCAATAATTAAACACGCCAATTTAACCTTAGGTTGATAGAATTAATAGTTAAGCGGCATGGATTAATAATCGAAGTGGTTCTTGGTCAAAATTCAGAACTGAGGTTAATCATCTTACCTACCTCATTTTACCTAACAAGGCAGCAGCTCCATCAGCTCAGCACCCTTGCAGCCACCACCTTGCAGCACAGCCCATGTACCTTCCAAGGTTCTGAACGCTCTGCAAGTCTTTTAATATGGGGGAATACTCTCCCCGAGCAATGCTGAGACCTGTGGAAGTAAAACACAGCATTAAAGTTAAGGCATCCTGGTGGAGCGCTGGAAACATTGAGCTTACAGGGGCCAGTCCTTGCTGCACAGTGTACACATTGTAACGGCTTCGAGCTCCCAAGAGACAGAAGATGGATAGTTGTACTTGAGAGCTGCTGCCAGGGCTCCTTACACACACCACAGATTGCACCGTGTTGCCCCATCCAGCCCTATGCCCTCACACACCTGCTTGCTGCACCTGGGGTGGCTGGCAATACCAGGCCTGATGCAACTCTTATTTCATTTTGTAAGGAAAGTGCTTGCCCCCCAAAATAATGGATAGCGCCGAATAAATCCCCACACGCCTTCCCACAGTTGGCAGCTTGGGATGCAGAGATTCTGCAATCCACTGCATTGATGCTGAGCAATGCAATGGACCATTCCTGTTTCCATGCTGCTTCCAGTAGTGAACACTAAGCTAAGGTAGCAAACTCCAAGCTACGAGTAGTAAACCCTCATTGTCGAGTATGATTTTGTACCCAATTTGTACAGTTTTGGGGGAGGTTGACTGAAATGCTCAGTGAGGATCAAGTGTAAGGGCAGGCTCACCAGCCCTGCTGATGTTGGCAGTAGGGTATGGCACTTGCTGGTAACCTGCTCTGCTGTTTTGGGTGAGGATTTCAGGTTTCTGGGCAAAGCGCCATGCATGGCCCATCATTCCAACTCACAAGTCTGGAGGGGACAGATGACAGTATGCGTGGGTTTCTGATTTTTACGTGTTTTAGATAGAGTTGATGTCTGAGAACCATATACTGCAAGTCTGGAGCTTTTTTGGTTGGCAGAGCAGGGTGCACCTCCTGTGAAATATTTTAATGCTGATTCTTTAGGATGGAGGCTGCTTTTCTTTCTTCCTTTCTTCCTTACTCAGTTGTTTTTTTTTTTGTTTGTTTGTTTGTTTGTTTGTTTTCCTGCTGTAATCATTAAAAATAAACATCGAGCATTGCAAAATGCAGGAAATTACGCTAGGTATTTCATAACTGCGCTCTGGAATTCTGTTAATGTTTATTCTTCACTTTTCCTGCTGAAAGCAAAAACAAAACCACCCAGCCCTGAGAGGCTGCACTGCTGATATTTAGGGTGCACAGCCTCAGTGCCCAGTCAGAACACCTGAATTCCCAGCACTGCCCCAGTTTCTAGAGCACACATTCAACACACAAACACTTTGCTATTCTTGCTTCTCTGGTTTGTAATTTTTTTTTTGGCCAAAATCCTTTCTCCAGGCTGTTCTCAGTAGAGGGCAGCCTTGTCAAACCCATAGGCAGAGCAGCAGGCACGGTGTATTTTATGTTTTCCCTGTTGCTGTTCTGTGACCTGCAGGGCTGATGCCCTGTGGAAAGCAGGAATCTTCCATCCTACACACCTGTAACGCGTAGGGCTGGCTGCTGACATTTCAGGTTCATGGTCTCCACATTTTGCACAGATGGAGAGGTTCCGCAGTCACATACAGAAGTGCTGAATCCATTTAAGCCATGCTGTTAACTCCTGAGCATTCTCTCCATGCATGCAGTCAGATCTTTCTGTGGTTCTTTCCTGGGTCTGCAGGTAGTTTATGTTACAGTATCATAACATTGCTCATTAGCATTTTCACAGCAAATGCCCACTTTGCTGCATGTTTCAGAAATCACCACAAGCTTTTATTCACTTTTCAGTCTTTTCATTGTGGTTGTTGAACTGTTCTACTTACTTGCTTTTAATGCATAGCACAAATGCAGGGCAGAGGCTTACAAGGCCTAAATTGTCCTTTGGAATCACTGGAGCTGCAACAAATTACACCGGTTTAGAACTGTTAACATGATATTTAAGCGAATTAAATCCAACAGTTCTGTTAAACTAAGCCAAGTAAAGGGAATATCCAGCATGAAATCCCAGTGGTGATTCTTACAAGCGAAATAACACACTGCTTATCTTAGCGGAAAGCAGTGTTCTGCCATCCTTATCAAGATCTGTTTTTATTTAACCTTATTTACACAAACAATTTCTAAACCTGTTTCAAACATACTGCGCTGCTACAATAAAACTAAAGCAAAGGACCAAACACAACAGCAAACACATCACCAGTTTTCAGCAAAGGCGCTTGGCACCAGCACGTCCTGACATGAGAGCTTACTGATAGATGCTTACATTGACAAATGTTCATGCGAGTGCTAAGAACATTTGAAAAGGCATAAAGGAAGGCATGGGCAGAGAAGCACAGAAAGGGGGTATTGATTCAGTTCACGCTTGTAAGATTGAGGAAAATAATGCCAGAATTGCAAAAGAGATCATGCATAGAAAGTGACCGGTGTATCCAGCGGTGCAGAACAATCTTCCCAGATGGGTAGCAGTCATAAGACTCCTATCACAAACAAATAAAAGCAGCTAAATCAGCACTCTGGCTTTCTTGACCTTGAAACAAGTGACTGGCTTCATACTTGTGGCTTGGCAGCGTCCTGTTTGCTAACTGGTGCCCACAGCCATGTTTGCAGAAAGCCCTTCTGCACGATGTCAGAGCACACGCACAGACAGGCTGTGCAGTTTTTCTATTGCCTTTGACAACATTTTATCTGGGTAAACAAAACTGAGCCTTCTTATGAAGCAGATTTGAATTTGCCTTCAAAACTCACGATGAATTTTGATTTCAGATTTCCTTATGTAATAATGCATGCTCTGATTTGCTGTCGATTAGAAGCTTAAATGCAATATTGCCATTTTAATGCATCTTTCATCTGCAGCGAAAGCAAGCCGTATCCCACGCCTCTGATTGCACGCCAAGAGAAACTCCTGACCGCCGCCTGGCAGAGCCCCTCCTCGCCTCTCATCCCTCGTCCTGGAGGTACGTGTGTTTGCTCACACCTGCCTCGCGTCGTGCCCAGCCTGGCAGCCGTTCAGCTCCCCATCAGTCGCACTGGTTGCTCCCTGCCAAGCCATGCCCACCCATGCTGGGAGCGCCCCGCGCTGGGCCCGAGCGGCTCCTCCCCCGACGCAGGCAAGGTTACACCTCTTCCCTACGCCTGTCAGCGAACAGCTGGACTTCTCTGGTTACATGTGTGCAACCATTTAAAAAAAACATCCAGGCCGGCTTACTCAGCAGATTATAAAGAATGATTTACAAAATGCGGCTTTCTTCCAGATCAGCCCGTGCCGTTGCATTTATGTGACTGAAGGTCTCAGCTGATCCGTTCTTTTCTTGTGCAGCCAAGAGGTTTGCAGCAGCAGCAGCAGCAGCCACGGCCAGTACCATACTGTAAGTCATTGGGAACATGTTTTTTTCTCTCAGTTTGGAAGGGGTTGGCATTTGGTGTATTCAGTTCCATAGCACTTAACATACTTTTCTCGCACAGACAATGAACTGTATCTCTTAGGCTGGGGCTGTGTGCTGCTCAGCAAGATGCAGCAGTGTGGTGCCTGCTTTATAGCAGCAGCATGAATGAATGATGCAATCATGCAGGGGGGAAGCATCATCATTTTGGCAGGAAAGGCAAGAGGAGATTGGAGAGCTGGGAGATGTCTATCAATATCCACCAGGTTCCTTCAGCCCTTTTCAGCTACCTTTTAAAATGTGCTTCAATAAATTTGTTGTTGGCATTGCTGTACAGATATCAGCGTGCAGCTGCTAACAATCCATCTCTTGACTTGCACACAGGTTGCTGATACTTTAAAATCTGAACATAAAACCTGGAAGTTAGAAGCAGCCTGGGTGAGTTTAAGGACTGAATGTTTCTATTTTCATATCAAAAACCACAGAAACTCCCAGTTTTGGATGGGTTGAACTTTTAAAGTACTTGCAGGAATACAGAGCAACAATTTGCTTAAGTATAGCTAATGTGTTTCGATTTATAATCTCTCTTCTTAAGCTTTCAGAACACACTGCTAATATTGAGAATTAAACCTCAACATAACAAAGATGTATTTCCATTCTAATCCCATTTTACAGACGTAGGACTAGCAACAATGAGGGACTAACAGCTTTGTTTAAACTGCTACCATGGAAGCTCTGCTGTGGATATTCTCATGAGCAGAATCATACCTGGAGTGGGAAAGGTCCTAAGAAAAGATTCAAGAACAAACTTCTCTGACTCTCATAGTCTAAGCAGCAGTTTCCCATCACTGCAATGGGAACAGTTTTATGTGGTTGCTTTTCTATTAATTTCAGTGCATGTTCAGTGAGACATTACTGGGCTTGAGAACGTATCTCACAGTGACTTTGTTCTCATCCAAACCAGTGAGACTGACTTCACTGGTGCCAGGAAAACAACTCTGGGCAAAGTGAGAACAAAATTGGTCTTCTTGTGCACCCGTAGCTGAAGTGCTCATGCTCACAGTTAAATGTGAAAGTGAATCAGAATCACAAACATTGCTTGCACACTGAGGATATTCCTGAATGATCCGTTTAAAAAGATATTTTAAGTAGTATTTCATCAAGATCTACTTAATCTTCATTCTTTCCCATAGCAGTAGGTGTGAATATAATACAAAGTGGCAGTTGACAGCAATTCTGAAAGCTCACAGGTGGAGACGCGCTGGGTATGTTAAGATCTCATCAAATTCTCATCAAAATGCAGCTGCCACAGAACACACAGAGTTCTGGGTGCCACTGCAGGTTCCTTTTCCATTACAGCTAGCAGATACTGCGGATGTTCCAGCTTTTCACAGTGTGGCACATGCCCTTCTTTGACCGGTCAGCAAACAGTAAAGATTACAGTTGTTTTCCTTTAGCATGTGTTCTTACATAATTATTAGGCCTGCTTCTGTGACTCCACCCTCTCTGTTACGAAAGAGATCCTATTTCTTGTGGAAATGCCAGTTTTTTTCCAAGTGTTCTAATGCAGTCTGGAGGCACGGAGATCTCATGGAAATGCCATTTTCCCTTTTGATTTCCTTTTTGTCCATTTGCTTCTCAACTTTCATCCTACCTCTTTCCCTTTGTCACTTTTCTTACACCTTCTCCAGCTTTTTCTTTGTCCATTGCTTTGTCTCTTTCCAATTTTCTTCCTTCATCTTTTCCCCGCTATATTTTATTATCAAACCTGTTGAAATGTTTGCTGCATGGATACTTTTCCAGCATGGAAATAATAGAATAGAAATAGATTTCCTATTTGAAGTACAGTGGCTGAGGGTGCAGAGATTTTCTACCCACCTTTTTTCATACAGAGGCAGAACTCATAATTATTAGTTGTGGGAATTTCTTTCTTCTTACCATCTCATAAAAGCATTGATGCATCTAAGCAATCAGATGGTCCGTGTTTCAGAGTAACTGAATCTCTCCCATCCACAGAGGCCCATAACACTCTGGAATTAAAAACTGTTATTCCTTTACTAAATCCTTTAGAGATTTGCCCATGGAGAAGTTTTGCAGAACTTCAGTTCTGTTTCCTCACATTTCCAGATGATACCTACCTGTAGATAAGAATCACAGAATATCTTGAGTTGGAGACCCACAAGGACCATCGAGTCCTGCTCCTGGCTCCATATAGGAACACCCAAAAATCAGTCTCTATTTGAGCTCCAGTGGCTCAGTGCTGTGACCACTGCCCTGGAAGCTTGTTGCAGTGCCTGACCACCCTCTCAGTGAAGAACCTCTTCCTGATAACCAACATGAATCTTCCCTGTTGCAACTTCATTGGATCATTGAGCCCAACTCCTGACTTCACACAGGGCAGCATGAGAGTTAAACCATTTAGCGAGGTGTCTAAACACTTGAACACCTAAAGGCTTGGGGCCAAGCCATGACCATTTCCCTGGCCATAGGAGCTACTGTGTCTGTCCTTACTTCCCTTGCAAAGTTACCTGGTGCTGAATTCTAGGCAGTTGCCTGCTCAATGCCATGGCAGGATGGCCTAGTGAAAATTCTGAAAACAAAGAAAGGAGCAGACCCTCTTCTACTTACTTCCCTTACTGCCGTGGCCTGTTGCTCAATCACAACTAGCCGTGCCTTATGCTTTCATTTACATTTAGGCTTTGGAAAAAAAATTCACAAGTCACTGAATTGGGTATGTTAGTGTTTGGAGTGGCATTTGCTAACCTCTGGAGGTGATGGTCAGCCCTAGAGCTTTGCCGACCACAGCAGAAGCACTTTACTTCACTCCAAGCTAACAACCTTTAACTCCTAATATTTGTTTTTCTCACGAGCAAGACTCCCTGCAACAGCTGAATCTTCCCCAAATGTTCTCCAGTACTGTTGATCCAATACGAATTTCACCATTTTACAGTTGATCACAAGGTCTCCAACTTGTGTGATGATACATTTCCCACAGATGAGCCTGCGTTTTCTAGGACTCAATGCCTACCTTCAGTTGAACATAGAAGGATTTTGGCAAGTCATACACCGAGGCAGATCGGGAACTATTGCTCTGCTCTGCATTTCAAAAACACAATTCTTCCATTACAATTTGACATTTTTAGGCATTATAAACCATAGCCTGCAACTCTTCAGGAAGAGTCATTGTGTAGAACAAAAAGAAGACAGAGTTAATTCCAGCCACAGTTTTGTGCATGTGTCCATCGAAATGAGGCTCAAGCAGCGTTTTCATCATTGTAAGGAATATTTAAAGGAGAATTAAGTATGAGAAATGGGGGTAGCAGGGAGAAGGAAAAGTTAATGTCTCCTCCTTCCTCCTCCCAGGGTGTCTAACTATAACATTTTTATCAGATTAAAACTGTGAAGACGTTTCCAAAAATACATTTCAAGTTCTCACCAAGGAATCACATAACAGTGCTGTCACCACGCAGCCATATTGCATCATACTATGGTAATGTTGCAGTGCAGCCTCAGGTTAGCATGAGGCAATGTGATTGCTTTGCATAATAAGGAATCAGTGTTGGAACATGACGCAAATGTCACACAACAGTGATGCAACAAGTTTGTCCAGTAGAGCAAATCCTGAAAATTGGCACCAAACCCATGGTTCCAGTAAGCTGGAAAAAAACCCACAAAACACTAATGACATGCTATTTAAAAAATGTTAGTGCACAAGTAGATGCAAATGGCTGTCAAGTCCTGCCCTGAAGTCAAAGCCCTCCTGCTCAGGAAATCAAAATCTTCCACTGAAAGCACAGAACTGTGCTGTGGAGTCAATGTCAAGCCAAGGCTAATGCAAAGTAAACTTGGAATTCACGTTTCACGTGTCCACCTGCTGCCAGGTCTTAGCTCAGAACCAGTCTCTGTCCAAGGGAACACGCGTCACTAAAGAGATTGCTTTCTCTTATGTCATGCTGATGGCCCATAATAGTTTTTTTTATATGTACAGTGCTATAAATGCAGCAAATAATTCTCTAGTGAATGAAGCTTTCAAGGCTAGGTCAGTCTTATAATATGTCTGTGCAGGGAGCAGCTCCAATGCACCAAGAACAGAGACCTGTCCAACTATGGGCTGAGTGATATCTGCTCTCCAAATCTCACCCACACCTGCAAGACAAAGCAACGTTAAGGAAGAAACAGCATCACCTTGGCAGCATGTGCAAAAGCCACAAACCCACTTTGGTGATTAGAGCCATGTTCAGACCACAAAACTCAAGCATAGCCAGAAGATCCTTTTAAGCAGTCCTGTTTCATGGCTTTGTCACATGCCTTGCTGTCTTTTCTTTCTTTCTTTTCCATATTTAACACTGGTATCTACCTGGTAAACTGAGATTAACTTACAAATGTGGTTCTTAGCTCTACACAACAGGTTTCTCTCCTAAGATTCGGTTGCTTAATTATGCAGACTGTTATTTTACCTTTCAATGAGGGACTGAGACAGCAGTTAGCTCGGTTTGATCCCAAATTTCTAAACAGTAGTTAATGCATTGGTCCTTGGTTAAGCAGTGTGTTCTAATGTTGATTTGTGCACCTAAGAACTTAATAAAAATGAAACCTTTAGGAGTTAGCCCGGCAATAATAGTGCAGATTGAACAGCAGCTTTTAATCTGAACACCCCAAAGCACCTGGACAACCACTTCTGCCTTATGGCAGGAAAAAGACCATCATCTACAACCAGGCCTAGTGGGAATAAAAGCAAAGGCTTCTATTTGCTGCTTTGACCGTTAGCTATTGAGCTGTCACCTCTCAGTAGGCACACAGAAGTCACTTCAGGAAACAGCACCGATGCTTACCATTGGTGGTCCCTAGATGAGGTCCCTGGTGGTGAGCAACTTCAGTATGTTCAGCTCCCAGGCTCTTCCACAGCAAGATATGTAGCAACGGGTCCCCCATTTTCAATGGATATCTTTTGTGTGCAAAGGATTGTTGGACAAACAGGGGAAAAAAATGTTGTGGAAATTTG